TAGTAAAATTTAATAGTTTTTTTTTTAAAATAGTTTGAAACAAAAAAAACAATAAATATAGTATAGTAAATTGTAGTATTTAAATAATAGCCAAAATATATTTCCACTTTTTGTTTGGCAATATGTTTTGTCCAAATCATATCCCAAATAGATTATTGCACCAAATTTGTATTTGGTGGGAAACAATTCGACCCGATCATCGTGACATTTTCTGGTATGATAATTTGAGCCAATGCCTTGCACTCTCTAAAGCATCCGCTACCAACTTCTTTCATTTTTTTAGGCAATAGAACAGAATGAAGTGCTTTACACCCAGAGAAGCAGGATTTCCCCAATGTTGTGACGTTATCAGGAATCACAATGTCTTGAAGTGAATAACAAAATTCAAAACAGTTATCTCCAATTGACACCAAGCCAGGTGGTCAATTCACACATGTCAAACCACAACAAAATCCAAAAGTGTGTGGATTTAGTGTCGCCATATAACACGGGAGTGTTACACTTTTAAGTTTGGCGCATCCCAAAAAGACGCACTCACCCATTGAAATGACCCTGGTCTGTATTGTGATTTCACTCAATGACAGACACATTGAAAAACAGAAATGTCCAATCGAAGTTACAGTATTTGGAATGTCTATTTGTTCTATTGTGTTACAATTTTCATAACACGACCGCATCAGTGATGTCACCAGTTTTGGTATTTGAGTTCCAAATTTCACAACATCTGAAGTGCTGTAACAAATATCTTTAAATTCAAAAATCGCGTTTTCGAGTTTGGCAACGTTGTGAAATGTATCGAAGTCAACTTGGTACCAAATAACAATTTTATAAAACCTCTTTTTGTTAACTTTCATACGTTTTTGTCTGTCAGTTTGATATATATTGTTGTTAAATAACAACATGAAATCATTGCCAAAAGTTTCATCATCTTCAGTCCAAATATTGAGTGTTTCGATTGATGGAAAATAGTTAATTGTTTTTGACGTGAGGCGAATAGGGTTGAAGTGGAATTTACTCATATTGTTGTTATACTTTTTACACACAAACTCAAGTGCCACAAAGTCTTTGATGGATTCAAAGTATTGGGAAATGACCATCATGTGGTATCCATCAATTCGTTGCATATTCTAAACAATTTGGTTGGAAGCTTTTATATTTTTGTAAAATGTTGGTATAATACTTTTTATAGCATTATACTATTAATATACTATTATCAACAAAAATATGACTTTTTTTATTCTAATTAAAAAGCAATACTAATAAAGAAAAAATATGGTGATATACAAGTCTGTTTTGTTCATTATAATATAATTAATACTAAATATAACTAAATAATAGCGATAGTTCGACGGTTTAAAAGTTGTAATAACATCCCAAAAACTTTTTAACGGTTAAATGTTAAAAATGACAACACGATTGTATATTTTTAAATACATATATAAAATGTTAAAAACATACAGGTGTAAATGAAGTATTCGTAAATAACATGTTTATGTTTGTCGACGATCTGAAGTCTGACAATTTTGCATAATTGGTGATGACGTCATTTATATTATAAATGAGTATTTTATTTTGTTTGCGTAATTAGTTTATTTGTGTTTGAATATAATAAACAATATTAAATTTATAATATTTGGTCGATCAACTATTATTATTGTTTTTCCAAAATAAAACTAAAAATAATGAAAAAATTAATAAAAAAAAGTTTTTATTTATTTAAGAATTTATAAAACAAATATTTTTGACAAATTACTGTTTTGAAATTTAAAATTTTACAAATTGTTTGTTTATTATCAAATTAAATCAAATCATTGTTTTGTAAATTAAGTTAAAAAACTTATAAAATATTATAACACAATTAATTAAAGTTTTATATTTGAAAACAAATATAAATGATTATAAATATAAATGGATAATTTTTAAATAAAGGGAATAATAAACATGTTTTAGTTTTTATTACAATTTTGGAGTGTTTCTAAATTTTCGATTATAAACATCCATGTTTGATGACAATTTCGCATTTTAAAAATAATTATTACAATTCATTATGGAATCTACTCATTTTGAATTATTTCGTATTAGAGTTTTATTGACAATTCAATTATTTTTGAAAAATAAATCTACTTAAATAAGTTGATCAAAATGTTGTTATTATTGTCTTTATTACAATTATCGTTTTCGTAAAACGAGCTGCTACAGTCTTTAACACATATCAATAAATATAAAATTGAAGCAAATGAATTGATTACACGATTGGAAAAATTATTCAAATTTCTTGAAAGCGAATAACAAATTGTGTCACCAATTTATTTTTCACACTTAAAAATGATCATTCAAAACGAAAACAAAAAATGTGATTTTATCAGTAGCTTCTGAATCCAATCCGTTTTCAATTGGAATAGTAACTTGTTCATTATTTTTCTACATCAGTTTCTTTAACTTTGGACAGAGAATCAAACGATTTCAATGCCGTTAAAATCAATTCTCCCCATTTTGATGCTCTTAAACTCGTTCTTGTTGCAAACTATAATCTTGCAGACAATTTGAACAAGATCGAAAGCTTCAGAACAACAATACACTTAAAAAAATCAAGAAAACAACAAAAATGTTAATTCAAAAGCTCAACCAACAACTCGTTCAAACTCCAACGGCTTCACGTTCTGTTATCGATATAAATCCGCCAATGAACAGGCAGATTAGTAACAATGCATTATATGATGAACAACTTGGGAGAGCTTTACGGGGTGCTAAAAGTGGAAACGTTAAATATTAATTGTTTTTTTTATTAATTTATTATAAACAAAAATAATTGAAGTATAAAATAATACAATCAATATTAAAATTATTTTATCTGAATATATTGAATTTATTGAATTTAAAATTTTTCGTTTATTATTGAATCTGTATTCATACAGGGTTTACAATTATTGTAAATGTATGTATGCTTTTTTGTTATCAACATTTCAAAATCTTGATAAAATTGGTATACATTTTTTTTTCAACACAGATTAATATTCATATTTTATTGAAAGAATTTATATAAATCTGGTAAAAATTTTA